ACAATAGACTCTCCAGAGATAGAAACTAATTGCCCCACCATGCCATACCCATACCCAGGTAAGGGTATGGTCTGTTATTCTCTTCTTAAATGGCAAAGGACAGAGGCATGTTGTTTTTTTTTCCTCCCCTTTTTATTTTAAATCCTATTGAGGCCTCAATTTTTTTTCTTCTTTTTTAAAAAAGAAATTAACTGGTTAAAGACAGAGAGTCTGGGGAGATGGTTCAGACAGTAAAGCACTTGTGGTGAGCCTAAGTTTGATCCCCAGAACCAAGACTGAAAAGCCGGGCTCATTGACCTGCCCTTGTAATCTCAGTGCTGGGGCAGGAAGGCACAGATGGGCAGATCCCTGGGTTCAAATGGCCAGCAAGCCTAGACAACCTGGCAAGTTCCAGGCAACTCTGAGAGTCTACATCACAAATCAAGGTGAACAGTGCCTGAGAGAGAGACATACCACGCACACACATACACACACACATGAATCAAGGCACCACTGACCTTCTTTGGCTTCTCTGAAACTCGCTTTCCTCATGTGCTGATACCCACCTGGATGGCTAATTGAGTGTTAGAAATGAACAGAAAACACCAATCAGGGCTAATGAATTGGTGTCAGTAAATGTGATCGGTTCTCAGGCCCTGATGTCATCAGAACCAATCTGTATCTTTGGCCCTAGTGCCTTCAACCAACATTCAAATTTGTCGGGAAGCAGTGATCTGGGCATGGTCTTTTCCGTGACTGAGACTTAGCATTTCACACGAATGTGGAAAAAGAATCAGGTCTCCTCAGGATGAAGCACTACTGCCTGGTACTATTTGGTTCCCAGATGTCCCACAAGTTCTGTGCCCTCACGATGCTGTAATATGGGTGTTTGGCCAACCCCTGCCCATACAATCAAAACATCAAAGGTCTGAGATGACCCTAGATGTTTCTTTATTTTTCTTTATGTGTATTTGTGAGTATATTTGCACACGTGTGGAGGTGCTTGCGCACGCCACATGATCCCCTGGAGCTGGAATTATATGTGGTTGTGAAACACCGGATGTGGGCGCTGGGAACTGAGTCTGGGGCCTCTGGAAGAGGAGCAAGCGCTCTTAAATGCTGAGCCATCTCTCCGGCCTCCAGATGTGGCATTTTTAGGTTGTTTTAGAGCTGTCTGTTTCTCCCCACAAGTGAGACTGGACAGTGGGATTTTATAATAAAATGATAATAACAGACTGCTTCTGGGTGACCCTGTCAGTCTGACAGCCATGCCAGCAGACCAAGTCTGGCTTTCCTGGGAGGAAAGGAAGGGACAGACCCAGAGTACTTTGTCCATCCCTGAGTCTGGCCCTGAGCGGCCCACCATCCCCGGTAACTACAGGTTATTCCCCAACCCCCCAGACTGATGCGGTCATAGTGAGCTAAGGCTGGTGTCTGCCCTGGGCCGGCCATGAGGAGCCAACTGGAATGATCAATGAGGCCAGGCAGCCGGGTCTCCGCTGGCCACTGTGAATCAGCTTCCCCTGCCTTGTCCAGATCCATCTCCGACGAGCAGGAAGCACTTGAGCGGTGCCCAGCCAGGCTGACTCGCGTCTGGCTAATGGCTTTTCTGTGTCACACATCGACCTTGGCACCCTACTTTTTTTTTTTTTTTCTCTGTGTGAGTGGGTTGGAGCTCCTGGAGACCGTGCTTGTAGAGGGAGTTCTTCTCAAAGCTTTCTAGAGAAAGACCTTGACAGGACTTTGGGGGATGGGAGGGGGGCTTCAGACAGCACTTCTTTTAAAACTCGAGGTAAAAGTCCTCACTGCATGAAACTAAGTGTATATAAGTGTATATCGATCATATATAACACGGCGTTTTCATGTATGTATGCAATGCATTTGGATCCTGTTTATCTCCCATGGCCCTCTGGTCCTCCTACTTTTGTCCCAACCAGTCCCCCTTCTACTTTCATGCCCGTGCCCCTCCCCAGCCCCCACCTGCAACCCCTGCTTTTGGTAATCCAGTGAGTTCCATTTGGGCTCCTTACAGGAGCATAAGTTAGGGGTCATTTACTCACGGAAACATGGGCAAATAAACGCCAACAAAGTGGCTACATCACTAAAAAAAAAAACGGCTCTTCCTTCCCCTAGGAGGCGGTGAGCCCACCGCCTCCCACACCGCCACAGGTCAAGTCGGGGCTTTGGGTGCGGTAGGCACATGCTCAAGTCCCACACTCCCAAGTAATCCCGGAAGAGTGGACAGCCCGGTAGCGTCTAGCACTTTTCCTCACGTGCGTCAGAACGTTTCATTGCTTTGGGCCCATTGTACTAGGTGTGTGAGTGTGTGGGTGGGTGGGTGTTGTGTCCGTGTCTGTGTGTGTTCTCCTGTCTCTGCCTCCTCATTGCTGAGAGTCTAGGTGCCCGCCTCCACGCTCAGCCTTCTCACAGTTGCTGGGGTCTAAGCTTGGACCTTATGCCTGTGTGGCAAGTGCTGTGCTGACGGAGCCTGCCCCCGTTCTGCAGCCCATCCTGGGTGGTTGAACTGCAGCCGTCTATTTTCTTTTAAGCCTGGAGAGCAGGGTCAAAATCGGAATGTGAGCATCTATCCCAGGCGCCATCTATGGCCTTGGGAGACCACCCACCCCTCCCACAGTGCTTCTAAACCCCTGGCCGTCTCTGCCCTGATTCCTCTGTTGTATGAGGGCACCAGAGTCACTGGGTGAAAGCCCATCGTGACAGTATCTTTTTAAGATAATCACCACGAAGAGACTAAAAGCTTTGAACTCTTTTAAGAAGGGAGAAGCGCTTCAAACCACAGCATACATTAAGCAGCTTCGGCGTCGGTATTCCGTTCCTTTTTGTGGCTGCGTAATATTCCACTTCCTGTGAGCGCCAAGCTTTTAAGCATCAAGTACAGCAGTTACTATCGCTCTCTGGCCCCACTGAGCAGCAGAGCCCCTGTCACAGCTTGCATAAGGTGCATTGTTGATCTCACAGATGTAGCTTCCCGTCCTTGCGGGAGGCCTTGTTTTTGTGGATACAAGTAAAAGCGGTACTGGACAGAGGGAAGCCAGGTCAAGCCTCTGATCCTCTGGCTCATTTTAAAAAATGAATTTATCTTCTAGCTTCCTCCCTCCTCTTCCTGCTCTTATCTTTGTACCTTCCCTCCCACAAGTCCACAAACACACATTAAAAGCATTTTAAACACGAACTCATTCTGGACAGGACCAGGGCCAGATAGGAAGCACAGCCCTTGGAAAAGATCCAGCCAGCGGCCTGATCCGTTGTCATGGTTACTGGGCCTGGTCCCTTCAGCTGGCTGCAGACTGGAGCCCGTTTGGAGCTTCTTCCCAATGCCTTCCCATGCCCCTGCCTCCGCATGAAAGAGGGACCTAGCGGCAAGCCACCCCTTAGCTTTGGAATCAACCCGATGCTGGCTTGAATATTCCAGCCGCCTCTAATGTTAGAATAGATTCCTGCGCACAGACAGGGGCCCTGCCTCCCTCCTGGCCAGGGCCCTTTTAGGAACACCTGGGCATGTGCATTAGCTTGCAGGTCTTGGCGATAGTGATTTTGTGTGCTGGTTCACACTGAGTGTGTAAAGTCCGTCACAGCAAAGTCCTGACCTGAGCAGGCATGTCCCCCATGCAAAACTTGTACCCCCTCTCCCCTCCTCCCCCTCTCTTTATCCCCCCTCACACGGAATGTGGCATCAAATTAATTTTGCCACGTGGGAAGTCCCCTGGGGAAAGAAACACCGGCTCGTCTTGGGTTGGGTTTTTGCTTTTGTTTGAATTGTTGCTGTTGCTTGTTTTTTTAATGTCCTAATGTTTTGTTATCTGTGGGGTACAAGTGCCGTGCCGTAGCCCCTGTGTATGGGTCAGAGAACAGCTTGCAGGAGAGAGTTGAACGACTTGGGGGTAAAGACAGTACAGAAATTGTTCTAGACCTGGATTGCTCCGTGATACCATTCTAAGGTTGACATGTGGCTTTTGGACTCCAGAAGGCCCCATGCTGTTAGTAGATTTGGGTGAAAATGATCCAGAAATACCAAAGAAAATTCCTTCCTCACTGTGGCACAGGCTTCTGAAACTTGGGTTCTTAGCTGTGGGATATAGCTATTTGGAGCATCTAGGGGCCTTTGTGTTAGTGGTTCATGTTTGCATCAGAGTGGCTGTGGCAGGATTGTCAAGAATTCCAGGCCAGTATGGTATGGGTGAGGTAGAGAGACAGAGAGAGAGAGAGAGAGAGAGAGAGAGAGAGAGAGAGGCTGTCTCATACAGTAATTCTTGCCCAGGAAGAATGAAGACCTAGCTTCAGTCCCCAGCATTGAATAAAACAGGTTTGGTGGTACTCACCTGTAATCCTAGAATCTGAGAGTTCTCAAAGGCAGGAGGAGCCAGAGTTGAATGCCATCCTTGGCTACATGATGAATTTGAGGTCTGCTTGAGCTTTGTAAGACCTGTCTCAAAAACAAAACAAGACAAAGACGAAAAGGAAACACAAAACAAAACAATAAAAACCAACCTTTCTCATGCTCCTGTCTAGCCACCTGTGAGAACTGCTATTCTAGGCAGGAAGAAAATTCGGGTGACAGTTAATCCTTGTGCCCAGCAATGCTGCCAATTAACTACAAAGCCAGGACAGAAATAACATACCCTAGGCTGCCTTTGGCCAAGGCAAATAGGACACAAAACTCCCTTTAACCCTGTATGGCCAGAACGAAAAGCAAGACAGACTCCAGTTCCTAGTTGTATACTCTCAGCATGGCACTCAAAGACCATCAGGGCCCCAGGGAGTGCTGTGTGTGGCCGCTTGCATTGCCTGCAGGGACATGCCATTTCTGCATTCTGCTCACAGCCAACTCTGCCAAGCTCCAAGGACAGTCACCTTAGACCCGAGTGACTGCTGGCTTTCCTCAGCAGAAGGTGTTGATGTGATTGGTTGCTGAGCACCCTGTCGTTGGAGGACAGTGGGGGGAATCCATCAGAGGCAAGCTGAGGCTGACCTCCCTGTCTCCATTTCTGTTTGCCTTGCAGTACAAAATCGGACAGCTGTACATGATCAGCAAACACAGCCATGAGCAGAGTGACCGGGGAGAAGGGGTAGAGGTCGTGCAGAATGAGCCCTTTGAGGACCCTCACCATGGCAACGGGCAGTTCACCGAGAAGAGAGTATATCTCAACAGGTAAGTCATGGCAGCTGGGGCAGCCACCCAAGAGCCCCTCCCACCTGACCCCGTGAGTGATGTCAGGGCGCTGGGGAGCCGTTACGTCACCCTGACAGCCACCGATGTTACTGTTTCACAACCAGAGTCATCAGGAGAATGTGAAGCTCCCCTTCCATGACACAAGAGGAAATCGAATCTATGCCTAGGACAGCGTGAGCTGGGGAGAGGAAGTGGGTGTGGCTTCACACAGTAGAGCTGGATACTGGACGCTACAGCACTGTGGCTATGGGTCTTGATTAATAGGATTTCCATGTTCTGTCAGCTGAAGCCCGGGACTCCACAGAGGAAACTAAGAAAGTGACCAGAGCCATCTGTGGTAGCTAAGGTGGCTTCTGATTCTCAAAGAGGCCCCCACCCTCCCTGGTCGTTACTCTGCTTTCAGGCAGGTTATGAACCAGCACTACCCGATGCTGTGTTTTCTGCTTTGCAAAATGTGTTGTTTTGCATGTCTTCCATTTCCTTACCGCCAGTGGCAACCGGGGTGATCGGGGGTCCCCACTTCATCCCATCCAGCCCTTGCTTTTCTGGGTCAGACTATTTGTGGTGAAGGGTTAGGGGAGATGGCTCAGTCAGTAAGGAGTGCACAGTGCAGGTGTAAAGGCCCTGAGTTCGGATCTCCAGGCCTGTGTAAAGAACAGAGCCCAGCAGCGCCTGCCTGTAATCCCAATGCTAGGGAGGCAGTGACCGGCTTGTTCCGGGAGCTCACTGGCCAGCCAGTTCTGCCAGATCAGAACTCCAAGTTCCGTGGGAGACCCTGTGTTAAAAAACTCTGTGGAGAATGATTGGGGAAGACACCCAGTGTTGACCTCTTCCCTCCTGTGCGCACACAAACACAAAAACACACACAAAGTGTATTTGTAGTCATGTGTGAAACGTATTTTATTGAATTTAACTTCTCAGCAAACAAGCCCCGTATTAGCCTTTCCACAAGTATATTTACACACACGCACACACGCACCTGCCACTGCCATATCCGCTGGATCATTTATGACTGTCGAGAAGCGTTTGTGGCCTACGAGGCTGGACAACTCCCCACTTATTTTCTGGCCTCTGTGAATGTTCCCTGTTCTCAGTGCCTTGGGTGTGGTCATCCACTTGTGAGCCATATTTAGAGACTTCGTTCTCTAAAAAGGCTGAGCTAGACCATTCTGTCACAAGAAGAGACTCCAGCAGAGTGGATGGAAGTCTTCCAATCCAGTTACCTTGGCAGTGAAGGCCTGGGGCTGATCAACCAAATATGCTCTCCACTGCCTGGGGATCCGGTACAAGGGAATTCTTGAGTCATGATGAAATGCAAATGAGATGGGTCCCATTCATCTTTGGGAAGCCGTGGATTCTCAGGAGTTAGATGTGCTTAGGCCCCAGCCGAGTGATTGTCTGCAGGAGTGGCTGGGCCCTGGCTATGGCCAGAGACAGATTTCTAGATGTTCCTGCTCTAGTCTTCTCAGTGTCAAGCATACAGGGCCAGGTTCCCCTTGGGATCACCTCCGAGGAGAAGTGAAGGACGTTTGGAAAAATAGGAACTATGGAAAATTCTGTTTCTCAGCTAAAGTTGCATTCACTTAAGTCATTGCCCCAGGACTGTTCCCTACGCACCCAAATGACGAAGAATGTTAGAAACCTTACAACTTTTTCTCAAGCAGAAGTGTCCAGCTGTCTCGGTCATGTCTGTTTTTCTCCAGCAAAATATATGATATTTATTTTAAAGGAGTCCTAAACACTAGTGAGAGGGAAGTAGGCTATAAATAGACTACGTACACTTCCAGTAATAGTAACTGGAGAGATTAGTGTCGACCGAACCCCCCCCCACAACTTCCTATGACAAACACAGGATGAAATATAACAATACGAAGCTGAGCTTTAAAACAAAGAAAGGGAAATCCTTGGGTCCTAGAGTTAGGACCTGAGCCAGAATGAGGGGCGGAGCAGCAGTGTTGTGGTACCTGGGAGCCATCAAGACCTACTCTAGGCACTGGTGTCTGGGGTAAGGGCCTGGTACCCACATCAGGACAGGGAATGTGGTCTCAGGCCTCTATGGAATGGGGGCTGGACCTGAGACTCAGACATACACACTGGTCTGTGACAGCCTAAGGCTGAGAGACTCAGGCTGAAGAGGTGGCTCAGGGCCTAGACGCACATACAGCTCTTTAAGAGACTCCCGGTTTGGTCCCCAGCACCCATGTTAGGTGGCCCACAACCACTTGTAACTCTGGCTCCAAAGGATCAGTGCCCTCCCTCTTCATTCACAGACAACTGCACCTACTTACACATATAAACACACACACTTAAAAATAGAAACTAAAGTGCCTTTTTTTTTTTTTTTGGTTGTTTTTCTTTGTTTCTTGATTTGTTTTTGTTTTTGTTTTGTTTTGTTTTTGAGTCAGGGTTTCCTGTGTAGCCCTGGCTGTCCTAAAACTCACTCTGTAGACCAGGCTGGCCTTGAACTCAGAGATCCACCTGCCTTTGCCTCCCGAGTGCTGGCATTAAAGGTGTGCACCATTACTGCCTCCTTCCTCAAACTAAAGTGTTTTAAAAAGAAAGACTAATGGAGATACTTCCACAAAGTTAAAACTGAACAAAAAAAGGAAAGTATGTAGAAGAACTTGGCAGACACTGGGCAGAGCCGGCTGAGCACAGACGATCTGAGCACAGTAGAGACTTGCTGCCACACCTTCGTAGCATCCAAACAGTAACAGAAGATAAAGCTGTCATTATAGTGAAGAAAATGCTCCCAGGTGCTAATATAATTTAGGGATTGAAAAGAGATGTTGATTGGTTTTGGAGACAGGGTGGCTTTGAACTCAGAGAGATTCCCCCTGCCTCTGCCTCGCAAGTGCCCGGATTGAAGATGTTTGCTGCCACACACAGCCTTCTTTTCTTTATTAAGGCAAGCATAAGTATTCAAAATGTAAAAGTAACCTCCAGAGAAACCATGAAGTAACTTTTGAGGGAATGTGTGATCAGTTCAGAGGGGTGGGAATAATGGAAGTGTGACTTTGATGGCCAAGTAAACCGAGTCACTTTCCCAGGCATCCTTGCTGCCAGGCATGGTACTGAGCCACCTAGTTGTGTTCAACAAGGCATCCAGTTTTCATCTATAATAAAAAACGAGGCAGATGTTCGAGGCCTCTCTTTTCTGTTCAAGAGGGCCAAGATCTGTTTTTGAGACAGGGAGCGAGTTCCCGTTTCATGCTTTCTTCCCAGTTGATTGATGCCAAGGCCATACTTTTATGAGAGAAGACCAGTTACATAAATTATTTCCTGGCAGTGTTTTATTTCTGATGTTATAATAGAGCAACCTCCCGGAACTAAGGAGAAAGGGGAAACAGAGAGAGACTGCAAATGAATGCTACCTGCCCTGTAAGTCTTGATAATGGAACTGAACAATAACAATACTGAACAGTATTAGTACAAGAGGAACACCTTAGTGATAGAACATTTGCCTGGCATATGCAAGGCCCTGGATTCTGTCCCAAGAATTACAAATAAAATAAACATTAAAAAATTCCTATATAAAACACAAGCATGTCAGATCTCTCAGTGAATAATAATAAACTATCACCCAAAGTTATTTCTGAAATCCATTCCCACCAAATAAATCCTCCCATGTACTTCTTCACAATAAAGGTGGTATTCCAGCACTTATCGGGTGAGGGCAGGGGTTCAGGAATCCAAGGTCAGCAGCAGAGACTTTGCTCCGAAACCCCAAATGCTTGCTTTTCAACAGAGCTATCATGAGACATTGGTAAGGAACTTTCCAATTACTCTGTGGATGATGCTGCACAGATCGGATTTTCAGTTAGCAACACAACTAAATTGCTAGTTCACTGCATGCAATAGATAGATAGATAGATAGATAGATAGATAGATAGATAGATAGATAGATAGATAGATAGATA